TTATTTTTTTTCTGTTTATATACAAATGAGCTACATTTACCCATTAAAGGACAAAGATTATAAAATTGGTTGATTTTTAAAATCTGTATTCTAAGAAAACACATGCTTAAAATAAAAATACAAGGAAACAGTGAAACTAAATGTGTATGTACACACACACACACACAAAAAGGAGTCATGTTAATAGTAATATAACAAAAAAGTAGTATTTTTTTCTGATAAATAAAACATTTAATGGTTTACAAATTAAATTTCAAAAATAAAACCATATAATACAAAAAAGGTGAATATATATACATATGTGTATATATTTACATAAGCACACACATACAGTGATTTGGTAAGCATAACACCACTAGACAAAAACAATTAAAGAAAAAATAGAAAAAATTAATACAAGACCAGGCATGGTGGCTCACGCCTGTAATCCCAGCCCTCTGGGAGGCTGAGGCGAGGTGGGTGGATTACTTGAAGTCAGGAGATCAAGCCCATAATAGCCAACATGGTGAAAGCACTTCTCTACTAAAAATACAAAAATTAGCTGGGTGTGGTGGCAATCGCCTGTAGTCCTAGCTACTCATGAGGCTGAGACAGGAGAACCGCTTGAACTCAGGAGATGGAGGTGGCAGTGAGCTGAGATCATGCCACTGCACTCCAGCTCCAGCCTGATGACAGAGTGAGACTCCGTCTCGAGAAAAAAAAAAAAAAAAAAAATTAGCCAGGCATGGAAGTGGACACCTGTAATTCCAGCTTCTTGGGAGGATGAGACAGGAGAATCTCTTGAACCCAGGAGGCAGAGGTTGCAGTAAGCCAAGATTGCACCATTGCACTCCAGCCTGGGCAACAAGAGAAAAACCCTGTCTAAAAAAAAAAAAAAAAAAAAAAAGAATACAAAAAAAGACTATAAACAAACAGCAATAAATACAAAAAGAATTACCTAAAATTTGGAGATGTGACTGAAATTATTGCTTGCCCTTTCTTATTTTTGTTTAATTATATATTTTTAATGGGGTCTCGCTGTGTTGGCCAGGCTGGAGTGTAGTGACTATTCACAGGCACGATTCCACTACTGATCAGCACGGGAGTTTTGACCTGCTCTGTTTTCTCCCTGGGTAGGTTCACTCCTCCTTAGGCAACCTGGTGGTCCCCCACTCCCTGGAGGTCACCATACTGATGCTGAACTTAGTGCAGACACCCCGTCGGCATAGCGCAGTGCAGCCCAGAACTCCTGGGCTCAAACGATCATCCTACCTCAGCCTCCCGAGTAGCTGGGACTACAGGCACGTGCCACCATGCCCAGCTTGAACAAAGTAGCATTTAAGGCAACAAACACAAATCATGATTTTAAAAAATGAACTGATTATCATGGTAAAAAGAACAGATGATCAAAAGGATATAAAAACATGAGCTTCTATTACCAAAAATATAGCTTAGAAAATACCAGAGGATTTTAACATAATTCCATAAGAAATAATAGACCCCAGAGGCAGAAAATTAGTCAACATAAGAGATTTGAACAACACAATCTATAAGCTTGATCTATTAGGATTCTAATAGATCTGTTCTACACACAACAAATACGGAATAGCCATCCTTGAACAGATAGAAAATCTGCAACAGTTTATTACCTAGTTATCATAAAAAAGGGCTCAGAAAATCCTAAAGTACCAATAATACACATGCTTTATAACACGTATTTAAATCACAAAGCAAACATTTATAAATAGAAAAGGGGGGAAATGTTTGGATATTTACCTCTACACCCTTAAATAACTCTTAGATTTCAAAAATCACAATGACAGTGAAAACTACTCAGAAAAGAAGGACTTAAATATTGTTTATTTAAAATTGTGAGATGCAGCTAAAACTAATTAGGAGTAAATTCATAGACAAATGCAATAATTTTTAAAAAGTAAACAAAATTACTTAAAATACATTTAGCTTGCCATTCAAGAAGATAAAAAACATATAAGGAGTATAAACTAAAATAAAATGAAAGAAAAAATAAAAAGAGATACATTTTGAAATGCAGCCAAGGAAGGATTCTGAGGATTAAGTAATGGAAGCAGACAATAAATGTTATAATAAAACCAGTGGGGAGAAAATGAAAATTCTGTCAAGTCTAATATTAGGACTCATGTAAGAGAGCTGGGCATAGTGGGGTGCCTATAATCCCAGCTGCTGAGTAGGCTGAGGCAGTAGGATTGCTTGAATCCGGGAGTTTGAATACAGCCTGACCAGTATAACAAGACCCATTCTCGGTGAAACAAAAAAACAAAAACATAAAAATGAAAAACAGAAGCAAAATATACCATAGTAGTTCTACAAGAAAGCATGGTGAGTTGATAACAGTTCTTTACAATACATTTTTCTTTTCTTTTTTTTTTTTCTTTTTTTTTTTTTTTTTTTTTTTTTTTTGAGATGGAGTTTTGCTCTTGTTACCCAGGCTGGAGTGCAATGGTGCGATCTCGGCTCACCGCAACCTCCACCTCTCCACCTCCTGGGTTCAGGCAATTCTCCTGCCTCAGCCTCCTGAGTAGCTGGGATTACAGGCACGTGCCACCATGCCCAGATAATTTTTTGTATTTTTAGTAGAGACGGGGTTTCACCATGTTGACCAGGAGGGTCTCGATCTCTTGACCTCGTGATCCACCCGCCTCGGCCTCCCAAAGTGCTGGGATTACAGGCTTGAGCCACCGCGCCCGGCCACATTTTTCTTCAGTGTTCTCAGAGGAATGGATGAAAGTAAAAATGAAAAAATTTCAACCAGGAAGGAGCCAAAAGGCAAACAGACTAAAGTGTCACCAGAAATGGGCAATTCCACTTATACCACATACAAAAATTAATGCAAATGGATCAAAGAAGCAAAATTCAGAAGCCACAAAATCCTTTTACCTGTTATGTTTAAGAACTAAAACTATACATCTCTTAGAAGAAAACAGGAGGAAACCTTCATAACATCCATTTTGGCAATAATTTCTTGGATATGACACCAAAAGCACAAACAACAAAAGAAAAAATTAGTATATTGGACTTTATCACAATTAAAAACTATTGTGCAGCAAAGAACAGCATCAGTAGAGTGAAAACGAAGCCCACATAGTGAGAGACAATTCTTCCAAATAATGTATCTAAGAATGGATATCCAGAATAAAGAACTCCCGCAACTCAACAACAAAAAAATCTCAAGCAATCTGATGTTGAAGTGAGCAAAGGACTTGAATAGACATTTCTCCAAAGATGATATACAAATGGATAGAAGTGTATGAAAAGATACTCAACATCACTAGTCATTAGGGAAATTCAAATCATAATGAGATACTCCTTCACATTCATTAGGATTGCTGTCATGAAAGAAAAGAACTGTTAACAACAATATGGAGAAATTGGAATTCGTATGCATTGCTGGTGAACATAAAATGATACATCTGCTGTGGAAAATGACATGGTGAGTTCTCAAAAATTTAAACATAAGATTACCATGTGATCTAGCAATTCTGCTCTGGTTGTTACCCAAAAGAAGTGAAAGTAGGGACTTCAACAGATATTTGTACACCCTTGTTTATGGCAACATTATTCACAATAGTTGAAAGGTGGAGGTAACCCAAGTGTCCATTGACAGATCAATGGGTAAACAAAAAGTGGTTCACACATAAAATGGGCTGTTAGCCTTAAAAAGGAAGGAAATTCTGTTACGTGCTACAATATGGAGGAACTTCAAAAACATTATGTCAAGTGAAATAATCCTGTCACAAAAGGACATTTACTGTATGATTCCTCATGTATGAAGTTCCTAGAGTAGTCAGATTCATAAACACAAAAGGTAGAATGGCAGGTGCCAAGCACTGGGTGAACGGTAATGGGGAGTTACTATTTAATAAGCACAGAATTTCAGCTGGGGAGGATGAAAAAGTTCTGAAGATGGATGGTGGTAATGGTCACACTAGAATATAATTGAATTTAATTATGATATAATTATATTATAATTAATTTGAATGTTTTTAATGTCACAGAATTGTATGCTTGACACTGGTTAAAATGGTAAAGATGAATCAGGAATACGACATCCACTGCATTGTATTTTACACCCTTGGAAAATTAGTATCAGCAAAAGAACTTGGCAACCTCAAATAATTTTGAGGACTGATTCCTAATGTGGTGAAAAAACCCCTTCTGGCTCTAGCTTTATTGTGTAGACCTGCTTTCTGTTTCTGTAATGTTCCATGCTGTCTCTCACCTTCAAGCATTTGTTCTGAGGTTCTAGAACACTTCTCCAGCCTTTTTCTTGATTCAATTCTACTTTTTAGGATTCAGCTTCAATTACACCCTCAAAAAGACTTTTCTGATCCCAAATCTAAACTGGATACCCTTTCTAGGTATTCCTTCATCACCCAGTATTTCCCACCTCATATCACAGCAGTTGCCATACTCTATTACACTCTCTTTACTTTCTTATGTTCTCCTCCATCCTTCATGCTTGACAGCAGAGCCAGTGTTTATCACATTCACCATTTCTATCTCCAGTACCAATCATGCAAAGTGTGAGGCACATGTACCCAATTAAGTGTCTGATGATTCAATAATTTAAAGGCAGATTTTGAAGCCATCGAGCACAAAAGTTCAAGATATATAACCTTAGAAGAAAATGCAGCTAAAGTTTCTTAATTGATCTTACTGCTTCTGACTACACAACAAGAGATGAAAGATGTTTGGAGCAAGGGCAGTGGTAGGCATTGATTGATGTCTTGAGCAGTCAATAATACTTTCCTAGCAACTATTAGCAAGGTCTTGTTCATTTATACTATTCTTATTAATCCTGATAAAAAGATTCCTGCTTCGAAAGATCTACTTCTAGGGTATCTTCGAGCTGTAAAATTCTTTAAAGCAACTTCAAAGGCAACAAAGGCAAACAAACAAGAAGTAACTTAGGTTTTCCTGAACAAGTGCAGAAATTATTTAGGCCTCTGAGCGTCGCTGTTGACCACCTAAGGAGTAAAAAGCAGCGAGACATCCAATCCAGCATTACGGCTCCCACGGCACAAGGGGCTGGAGATTTGGCCCTAAAGCTTCAGGGTACCAAAGAAATTCAGTCGAACAGCCCACCAGTTCTCTCCATAGGGACCTGGGTCCCGTGAATGCTAGTCATCACACACCCTGAGGAATAAAGATTGGAATCCGCTCTGGATGCTGGAAGTTGACTCGGAGAAAACTGCGACAGGAAGGAAATGGCGGCTCTGCAAAAGTTGCCACACTGCAGAACGGTGGTCCTGCTGTGCTTCCTTTTGGCGACCCTGTGGGAGGCCAGGGCCGGGCAGATTCGCTATTCTGTGCGGGAAGAGATCGACAGAGGCTCCTTCGTAGGCAACATCGCCAAGGACCTGAGTTTGGAGCCCCTGGCACTGGCAGAGCGGGGAGTCCGCATCGTCTCCAGAGGTAGGACCCAGCTCTTTGCTCTGAACCCGCGAAGTGGCAGCTTGGTCACTGCGAACAGGATAGACCGGGAGGAGCTCTGCGGTCAGAGCGCGCAGTGCCTCTTGAATTTTAACATCCTGCTGGAAGATAAATTGACGATTTATTCAGTAGAGGTGGAAATAACAGATATTAACGATAATGCCCCTCGCTTTGGAGTAGAGGAACTGGAGCTAAAAATCAGTGAAACCACTACGCCAGGATTCAGGATTCCTCTTAAGAGTGCGCATGATGCGGACGTAGGTGAGAACGCCCTTCGGAAGTACGCACTCCACCCAAATGACCACTTCTCCCTGGACGTGCGAAGTGGAGTTGATGGGAACAAGTACCCAGAACTGGTGCTGGAGCGCGCTTTGGACCGCGAGGAAGAGGCTGTTCATCACCTCGTTCTCGTAGCTTCCGATGGGGGTGATCCAGTGCTATCTGGCACCTCCCGCATCTGCGTGAAGGTCCTGGATGTGAATGACAACGCTCCTGTTTTTACACAGCCCGAGTACCGCGTAAGCGTCCCGGAGAATACGCCCGTGGACACTCTGATACTCACAGTGACTGCCACTGACGCAGATGAGGGCTACAACGCTCAAGTGGCATATTTTCTAGAGAAAAGTCTTGGAGGAACCTCAGAGGTATTTGAGCTTAAGTCAACATCTGGAGATCTGAGACTCATAAAAGTTCTAGATTATGAGGAGGCTACATCCCATGAAATTGATATTGAAGCTCAGGATGGTCCGGGCCTTCTGACCAGAACGAAGGTTATCGTCACAGTTCTGGACGTGAATGACAATGCTCCAGAATTTTACATAACATCTGCTAGTAGCTCAGTTTCTGAAGACTCTCCTCCAGGAACCATAATTGGGCTTTTTAATGTATATGATAGAGACTCTGGACAGAATGCATTCATCACCTGTTCACTCCCCGATAATCTTCCTTTTAAGTTAGAAAAGTCAGTGGACAATTACTACCGATTGGTTACAACCAAAGCCCTTGACAGGGAACAGTTTTCCTTTTACAACATCACTCTAACCGCTAAAGATGAAGGGAACCCCTCCCTGTCCACGGATGCTCACATTTTGCTACAGGTGGCAGACATCAACGACAATGCGCCCGCCTTCTCCCGCACATCCTACTCCGCCTACATTCCCGAAAACAACCCCAGAGGAGCCTCCATCTTCTCAGTGACCGCCCATGACCCCGACAGCAACAACAATGCTCACGTAACTTACTCTTTCATGGAGGACACCATTCAGGGGGCACCCTTATCCTCTTACATCTCTATGAACTCTGACACTGGGGTCCTCTATGCACTGCGCTCCTTTGATTATGAGCATTTCCGAGACTTGCAACTGTGGGTGATAGCGCGGGACAGCGGGAACCCTCCACTCAGTAGCAATGTATCCTTAAGCCTGTTCGTGCTGGACCAGAACGACAATGCGCCTGAGATCCTGTACCCCGCCCTCCCCACAGACGGTTCTACAGGCGTGGAGCTGGCGCCCCGCTCGGCAGAGCCTGGCTACCTGGTGACCAAGGTGGTGGCGGTGGACAGAGACTCGGGCCAGAACGCCTGGCTGTCCTACCGCCTGCTCAAGGCCAGCGAGCCTGGACTCTTCACGGTGGGGCTGCACACGGGCGAGGTGCGCACGGCGCGGGCCCTGCTGGACAGAGACGCGCTCAAGCAGAGCCTCGTGGTGGCCGTCCAGGACCACGGTCAGCCCCCTCTCTCGGCCACTGTCACGCTCACTGTGGCCGTGGCCGACAGGATCCCCGACATCCTGGCTGACCTGGGCAACCTCGAGCCCTCTGCCCAAACCGACGACTCGGACCTCACGCTGTACCTGGTGGTGGCGGTGGCCGCGGTCTCCTGTGTCTTCCTGGCCTTCGTCATCGTGCTGCTGGCACTCAGGCTGCGGCGCTGGCACAAGTCACGCCAGCTGCAGACTTCAGGAGGCAGCTTGGTGCCCAGTTCGCACTTTGTGGGCGTGGATGGGGTGCGAGCTTTCCTGCAGACCTATTCCCACGAGGTCTCACTCACCGCGGACTCGCGGAAGAGTCAACTGATCTTCCCCCAGCCCAACTATGCAGACACGCTCATCAGCCAGGAGAGCTGTGAGAAAAAGGATTTTTTAACAGCACCTCAATCTCTACTCGAAGATGAAAGAGAAGAAACGTTTCCTCAGGTAATCTATCTTTTCACAATGTACATACTAGCTAGTTTGCTGAAATAATTCACTTACTTGCCTCCACTGTTTGCTATATCTATTTTGTTCCCCAAATTTTCTTGAGGGTATAGTCAAGTTTTAGGAAGCGAGTCTTGGTGAATTACTTCTTGGTAGGTCTTTATGTTCACAGGCTGTAAGAGGAAGAAAAGGTTAGAATCGCTGTGCCATGAATGTAAACCAGGAGTTAATAGATGATTATCGAAAGGGCACTGCATTAGTGACTTGGGTGTCTGGTTTCTCATACTTTCTTCTCCACCCCTGGGCAAATCATCTCATCCACCAGATCAACAATTTTTTCTGTGTTAAAAATATAAAGTTTGGAATTAATGCTTACTCAGGTCCCTTCTTTTAAAATATGACTTTTATTTTGTATTTGAATTTGTGTATGAACAGTGAAACACCTTCGTTGGTTAGTTCTTTCTCACTCTTAATGTATTTCTTTCAGTTTGGCAGTGAAGTTGTTTTCCTTAAGCTGCATGTCCTTCCCTATCAAAAAAGATGGAAATATAGAAATATACATTCTTTACAGTGTTTCAGGAAGGTGTGTCATGTTATCTTGGCTTAGTTTTAAAAATCGCATTAGCCTCTAAGCTATCTGTTCCTTGAAGAAGCAACCGATTTATCATTTGCTCTATAATAAATTTGTAGAGTAATAGTAAACAGATTTCTCTTCTTTGTTTTTTTTTATCTTTCTCATATGTGGGAACCATATTGCCTTTTAATCTTTAAAATAATATATGTCCTCAATACAGTTTTGTTTAAAGAAAAGATACAAATACAAAAATTTGTATCATACAATTGCCCATAAAGATCTTTGTTCTTCTGAAGGTTTCCTACTCACAGTAGCTGCTAGAAATGTTCCCAATCCCTCACCCAATCCCAGTGCCCCTCTGATCAATTTTCTTTTTCCATTCCTCGTCTTACATTGGCTTTTAGTATGTTGGCTATGTATTGCGTAACAGAAAATAATAAACCCACTAATATTCTATGTAACTGGTATCATTTAAAATTTTTATTTGGGAATTATCATACACTAATTGAGGCTTTTATTTAATGATACCGTATCTCTCAAAGTGCTATGATTCTTTATGTCACATCTGATTGAGGAAAAATTTTCTGAGACAACATGTTGTGTTGGTTACTACTATTACGTAATTATCTATTAGTAAAATTGGAACTCACTGTGCAATAATATGTCATATCTTTACTTGTAAGTGAATAATAAAGTATAAACAGGAAAATCAAACAAAGTTATTTATACTGTGTGTAGTAACTCCACAAGAATAAATGCCTTATGCATAGATATGTAATGCATCGTGATTAAAATGAGAAATATATTTATATTTCTGTAATTGGAAACTTACAGGGAAAGAGATTCTGGAACACGAAAGCTTATTTCTACTAGTTTCAGTTGTGGGTTTTGAAAAAACATCCTTACTGTCTCGATTTAAACAAAGAGAACTTTCAGTACCCTGAGGGTCTGTGATTTCTCTCTCACATCTAGGCATTGTTATGCTGTTTTCTCTCATATCCAGGCCTTTTCACTGATCCACTCCCTCATGTTTCCTGGGAAAGTCTTTGCTAACCTCAAAGGCCCAATTGAAGGCCCCCCTAACCCCCTTGACCTCTCCCATTATGACAATTATCTCAGTATGCTGCAATTCCATGTTTGCTTTTATATCCTTATAATCTCTGTGAAGGAAGTGACTGTGTCTACATTGCTCATCTTAATCCCCAGACTAACATATTGTCTGACACCTAATTGTGTGTTTGCTTAATGAATACTAAATAACAACAAATATTGAGATTAAGTTATCTGGCTGCCAAGAACAAACTTAATGAAATATAATGTATAAATATGGCTAATATTTCTGTGTCTTTTCTCTTTTTTTTCCTTGTCTCAGCTCTTGTAGAGTTAAGAGTATAGAGAGGGAAAGGTGAAAGAGGAGGTGGCTATCTTATCAAATAACTCTGATAAATGTAGTAAGTATAACAATAAATACAGGTTCAAGGTTCAGTGGTGGAAGAAAAAGTGGTGGTCATGTCTTTTAATAGTTGTGTTGGTCGTTAAGGCCAGTTCTTTGTTACTGTGTGTTTCTTAAACTGAACATTTCAAAACAGTAACTCCACTATGTTTGAAGCAATATTGGTTGCAGTGAGATTAGTGCATGGAGTCCCAAGAAAAATAACTTGAAGTCACACTGTACATCCATTCAATTATGTTGAATCAACACTAGTCCCCTAACCTTTGACTAGAAGGATTTCAGGTGTTAGATAAGTCAAAAATAATTCGTGTTTGTCTGAGAGGATGCAGTAAACGGTTAGGCCTCTTAGTGTCGCTGTTGACCACTCAAGAAGGAGAAGTGCAGCTGGAGTACGAGTTCACCATTTCCTTGCTCCTAAAATGCAAAGAACCAGCAAACCACACTCAGAAGATCCGGGGCGGCTGCCAACCTCACCCCTTAGCCAACCGTCTGTTTGACCTGTGAATTAGACCCGCGAAAGACTTCGTTTCTTGAGAAAATAAGATTGGAGTCCATCGTGGGAAACTGGAACCGAATTCAGAGAAAGCAATTCACCGAAAAGGAAATGACCAATTGCCTGAGTTTCCGAAATGGCAGAGGACTGGCCCTGCTGTGCGCGCTCCTGGGGACGCTGTGCAAAACAGCATCCGGGCAGATTCGCTACTCGGTGTCTGAGGAGCTAGATAAAGGTTCCTTCGTGGGCAACATCGCTAAGGACCTGGGGCTGGAGCCCCGAGAGCTGGCGGAGCGCGGAGTCCGCATCGTCTCCAGAGGTAGGACGCAGCTTTTCTCTCTGAATCTGAGAAGCGGCAGCTTGGTCACCGCAGAGAGGATAGACCGGGAGGAGCTCTGTGCTCAGATCCCGCGGTGTCTGGTAAAATTTAACATCCTGGTTGAGGACAAATTGAAAATTTTTGAAGTAGAAATAGAAATTAAAGATATTAATGACAATGCTCCTAATTTTCTAACAGAGGAATTGGAAATAAAAATTGGTGAACTAACCATTCCTGGAACCCGATTTCCACTTAAAACTGCTTTTGACCCAGATGTGGGCATAAACTCCCTGCAGAACTACAAGCTTACCCCCAACGACTACTTCTCCCTGGCTGTGAATAGCGTCTCTGAGGAGGCCAAGTATCCGGAACTGGTGCTGGAGAGGGCCTTGGACCGTGAGAAAAAAGAAATTCACCAGCTTGTCCTGGTTGCCTCTGATGGTGGTGACCCTGTCCACTCTGGCAACTTGCACATCCAAGTGATAGTCCTGGATGCAAATGACAACCCACCAATGTTTACTCAGCCTGAGTACCGTGTAAGTGTTTGGGAGAACGCGTCAGTGGGTACCTGGCTGCTCACGGTGAATGCCACTGACCCTGATGAGGGATTCAACGCTCAAGTGTCTTATATTCTAGATAAAATGCCTGGGAAAATCGCTGAGATTTTCCATCTCAACTCAGTGACTGGAGAATTATCAATATTAAAAAGTCTAGATTATGAGGATGTCACGTTCTATGAAATTAAAATTGAAGCACAGGATGGACCAGGTCTTCTTTCAAGAGCCAAGATTCTAGTCACGGTTCTGGATGTGAATGACAATGCTCCAGAAATTACAATCACTTCTCTAACAAGCTCGGTCCTAGAAGAGGGCACCGCTGGAAGAGAAATTGCACTTATCAATGTGCATGACCGAGATGCTGGGCAGAATGGGCAGGTTGCAATTTCTGTCCTGGGAAATCTGCCATTTAAGTTAGAAAAATCAATAGACCAATATTACCGCTTAGTGACAGCCACATCCCTGGACCGTGAACAAATGTCAGAATATAATATCAGTCTGAGAGCCACAGATGGGGGAAGTCCGCCACTGTCCACGGAAACTCACTTCACCCTGCATGTGATTGACATCAATGACAATCCACCCACCTTCCCTCAGTTCTCCTACTCCGCCTACATTCCAGAAAACAACCCCAGAGGAGCCTCCATCTTCTCAGTGACAGCCCAGGACCCAGATAGTAACAATAACGCCCGCATCACTTATGCATTGATCGAGGACACCATCCAGGGTGCGCACCTGTCCTCCTACGTCTCCATCAACTCCAACACTGGCGTCCTGTACGCGCTGCGCTCCTTCGACTACGAGCAATTTAGAGACCTAAAGCTACTGGTGACAGCCAGCGACGGCGGGAACCCTCCACTCAGCAGCAACGTGTCGCTGAGCCTGTTCGTGCTGGATCAGAACGACAATGCGCCTGAGATCCTGTACCCTGCTCTCCCCACAGATGGTTCCACTGGCGTGGAGCTGGCGCCCCGCTCGGCAGAGCCCGGCTACCTGGTGACCAAGGTGGTGGCGGTGGACAGAGACTCAGGGCCAGAACGCCTGGCTGTCCTACCGCCTGCTCAAGGCCAGCGAGCCCGGACTCTTCACGGTGGGGCTGCACACTGGCGAGGTGCGCACGGCGCGGGCCCTGCTGGACAGAGACGCGCTCAAGCAGAGCCTCGTGGTGGCCGTCCAGGACCACGGTCAGCCCCCTCTCTCGGCCACTGTTACGCTCACTGTGGCCGTGGCCGACAGGATCCCCGACATCCTAGCCGACCTGGGCAACCTCGAGCCCTCTGCCCAAACCGACGACTCGGACCTCACGCTGTACCTGGTGGTGGCGGTGGCCGCGGTCTCCTGTGTCTTCCTGGCCTTCGTCATCGTGCTGCTGGCGCTCAGGCTGCGGCGCTGGCACAAGTCAAGGCTGCTGCAGGCTTCGGAAGGTGGCTTGGGGAGCGTGCCCGGTTCGCACTTTGTGGGCGTGGACGGGGTGCGAGCATTCCTGCAGACCTATTCCCACGAGGTCTCCCTCACCGCGGATTCGCGGAAGAGTCACCTGATCTTCCCCCAGCCCAACTATGCGGACACGCTCATCAGCCAGGAGAGCTGTGAGAAAAGCGAGCCTCTTCTGATAACTCAGGATTTACCTGAAACCAAAGGAGACTCCAAGCAACTTCAGGTGAGTTTATTTCTTTGAATATTATGAAGAACAATTATGCAAATTTTTGTTATTATAAAGCTTTAACACATATGTATGTGAAAAATAAAGCCATGAGGTTGCCATTAGTTCTGTTGACTAAATATTTGTCCCCCTTTCTTTCCGGGCCTGTAGTAGGACTGCACTCCCTGGTCTGGTTATGGTTGAGTGGGCTTAGGGAACCAATAATACATTGTGAGTGGAAGTAAGGTGTGTCACTTCCTAGAGGAATCTGCCTTTGTGAGAATTTTCAGATCTCTGAGTTACTATTTGAAGTTGTAACTGCTCCTTCTACCTGGGTCCTTGAGTAACTATGATGGGAGAACCACAACACTGGTCTGTATACCTGTGATAAATAGGACTCTTTCATTTTAAATCCCTGTGCTTTGGAGTTTGTCATTCCAGACTATAGAGCCTATCCTGATACATACAAGCAAAAATACATATGAATAAAAGAAATTTTATGCACCCATGAAATTAAATTGTTTGACTCCTTCCAAGGCAGCACTCTCCTCTTTCCTTCCTTCCTTTTTTCCTTCCTTCCTTCCTTCTTTCCTTCCTTCCTTCCTTCCTTCCTTCCTTCCTTCCTTCCTTCCTTCCTTCCTTCTTTCCTGATGAGATCTTACTGTCTGGAGGGCAGTGCCATGATCACAGCTCACTGCAGCCTTAACCTCCTAGACTCAAGTGATTCTCCCACCTCAGCCTCCTGAGTAGCTGGGACTACAGGCACGAGCCATCCACCCATCTAATTCTTTTGTTTCTGATTTTTTTTTTCTCTTTTGTCGTTGTTGTTGTTGTTGTTGTTGTTGCTGTTGTTGTTTTATGGAGTTTTGCTGTGTTTCCCAGGCTGGTCTGAAATTCCTGAGCTCAAGTGATCTGCCCACATCAGCCTCCCAAAGTACTGAGGTTACAGCCATTAGCCACCATGTCTAGCCTGTCATTCTTTTCATCTCAATAGCATAAAAATTGTAGAATAAAAATGTAGAGGCTGGTCAAATGGTTTTACCGATAGTGCCTGTTATGTGTGCCTAAAGCATATGTTTATGTGTGTGTTCATATTGATTTCAACATTTTGCCTGAGGGTGGAAAGTTCACCTACCTAAACTATCATGAGCCTTGAAGTGGTATTTCTTGCCCTTGAGAAGGATATTAAAAGAATGTAGGGGAATGTATCTTAGCCTCTGCAGATTTCCAGACCATCTCTTCCAACAATGGGATAGAAGTCCCTTCTTTTGTCATGTTCTACAACTTTCTTGAGACAGAAATTGTTGGCTTATTCTGCAATTTATGAAATTATTTTCATTCACGAAGTCACATAAGAGAATCATCCAAAATTAGACCAGAGTATATTTTATTAGAACTCAAAAAAAAAAAAAAAAGAATAGATTCCTCCCTCAATGTATTAGGAATTGGCACAGTTAAATGCATGAGACGACAGGGCCAGAACACAAAAGCTTTAAGCAGAGTGAAGTGTATTCTCATTCAAACATGCAAATACATCACAGAATTTAAAAGACCATAGCCAGGGGAGGACTTCTGAACCCAGGACTTGAGACCTACTTGCGCAACATAGTAAGACCCTGTCTCAAATGAAAAAGGCTCATAACTTTTGACATATCATTTTTAGGAAAAAAAAAAGTTTATGCTATCAGTATCACTTCCCCTATAAGGAGAAAAAAATTAATTGGCTAGTGCCAGAGGAAATATGGATGCTCAAAGAGAATTTTCTAAGAATTCTATATGAAACATAGCCATATATGTGTCATGAAAATACACTGAGAATACAGAACCAATACAATTCCACCTACTGGTACAGGTAATGAAAGGTCTAAGACATCCCATTTTCACTAAGAAGGATTTTTTTTTTTTTTAACAATGAGCAAGAATTGATTACAACTGAAAGGAGAAGTTCATAATAAAAGAAACAAAGTATAAAGGCATGATACATGGGAAACAAGAGAAAAAGTATCTTAAGAAAACAGATAATAGGCTGTTTTGACTGGAGTATGAGTATGGGTGAGCACTGCAAAATAGTAAATTGTTGAGTTGGATCTCATTTTGTAGTGCATTTGAAATAAAGGGATTTGCTTTGAACCAAGACTGGTTCTAAGCCTGGAACCACAGAATAAGTTCCAAAATTGGGTGTCTAAGAACTCTAAATACCTCTCCAATATTTACCAGTGGTCAAGTCAAACTCATTGTACTCATTAATGGTATAAGTCAGCTGGAGCTGAGAACTGGCATTATAGAGAATGGTTCTGAGACAGAGTCTTGCTCTGTCACCCAGTGTGAGTTCAGTGGGATGATCTCAGCTCACAGCAACCTCTGCCTCCTGAGTTCAAGCAGTTCTCCTGCCTCAACCTCCCGAGTAGCTGGGGTTACAGGCACCTGCCACCACACCAAGCTAATTTTTGTATTTTTAGTAGAGATGGGGTTGCACCATGTTGGCCAGGCTGGTCTCAAATTCCCGACCTCTTGTGTTCTGCCCGCCTTGGCCTCCCAAAGTGCTGGGATTACAGACCACTGCACCCAGCCTAGAGTATTTCATATACATTCATATAAAAAGAAGCACTATTTTCATAAAAAATAAATATACCTTATATGAGAGTCCACATTATAAAAGCATGTATGTGTACCCTAATACTAAATTGGCCCTTTTAACAAAATATCAGACTTTGCTCTACTTAACTGGAAAGGTTATCTGTATTTTAAAAAGAAGAGAAATATATTAACACAATCGTAAGGCTGTGATTATTTTTTGCAAAAACTATCTTTGAAAAGAATTACTGAATTGTTAACGTATATGTGAAGAGATTTAAAATACTAGAAAAGGGAACTTATTCTGATGAATTTAAGAAAGGTAAGTATTTTAGTTCACTAAAAATATGAATAAAAATTATTCATTCACTTATTTGGATACCCCAGTCATGCCAGCGTTTATAAATACAGTGACATCACTGAAGATTTTTTTGACCCCAAAACTTAAAAAAATGACTGTGTATCTTGTGAATTTTTTAAATGAAAAAAGAATACAAAATGATGAAGACCCTGATGAGATGATGGCAAACTAGAAAATGTGAAATTTAAAGGGGAAAATGTATTTGCTTTCTTCCAGCAAGTTAAAGACAGGGTACATAGATTCAAGAGGTTGCGCTTTGAGGATAAATAGCTGGGCACTGTGCAGTTTTCCAAGACAACCTCTGGGCGCCGCTGTCGACCAAAAGGAAGTGAAGGCTTCTCAATTCTGCCTGAGCGTCAGGCAGGGTGCCTTCCTGCTTTGTCCGGTGCACCTCAGAGCACAGACGCTGCTCCTGTGTACCCTCAACCGCCTAACAAATAAGTCCTACACTCAAATCACCAAAGTCCAGGGTGCTGCCATTGCTTTTGAAAACAATCCCAGAGAAAAGAACCTCCGTGGAGAGTTCCTGAAATGCAGAGGAGAGCCAGAGAAGCCAAAAGGATGAGAAGTCAGGTACTGTTTCCCTTCCTGCTGTCTTTGTTCTGCGGGGCCATCTCCCAGCAGATCCGATACACGATTCCAGAGGAGCTAGCCAAGGGCTCACGGGTGGGGAACCTTGCCAAGGATCTGGGGCTCAGTATCCGGGACTTGCCAGCTCGAAAACTGCGGGTTAGTGCGGAGGATTATTTCAACGTTAGTTTGGAGAGCGGGGATTTGTTAGTGAATGGTAGGATAGATCGAGAGAGGATTTGCGGAAGGAAACTTGAGTGTGCACTAGAATTCGAAACGGTTGCTGAAAACCCAATGAATGTTTTCCACGTGGTTGTTATAATCCAAGATATTAATGATAATGCACCACGTTTCGTTACAAAAGGCATTGACTTAGAAATTTGTGAGTCAGCCTTACCCGGGGTAAAATTCCCTCTGGATTCTGCGCAAGATGCAGATGTGGAAGGTAATTCACTAAAGATATACACCATCAACCCCAATCAACACTTCTCTCTGTCAACGAAGGAAAGTCCTGATGGAAGTAAATATCCAGAATTACTGCTGGAAAAACCTCTAGACAGGGAACATCAGAGCTCCCATCGCTTAATCCTGACTGCCATGGACGGCGGGGACCCGCCTCTAAGCGGCACCACCCAGATCAATATCCAAGTCACTGATGCCAATGATAATGCTCCTGTGTTTAGCCAGGATGTATACAGGGTTAGCCTCCAAGAAAACGTACCCTGGGGAACTTCTGTGCTGCGAGTGTTGGCCACAGACCAGGATGAGGGCATTAACGCAGAGATCACCTATGCCTTCCTCAATTCCCCAATAAGTACCAGCCTCTTCTTCAATCTTAATCCAAATACCGGCGACATTACAACCAATGGCACATTGGACTTTGAAGAGACAAATAGATATGTGTTGGGTGTAGAAGCCAAGGATGGAGGAGTACACACAGCTCACTGTAATGTTCAAATTGAAATTGTTGATGAGAATGATAATACCCCAGAGGTGACTTTGATGTCCTTCTCTAACCAGATTCCAGAGGATTCAAACCTTGGAACTGTAATAGCCCTCATAAAAGTGCGAGACAAGGATTCTGGGCAAAATGGTATGGTGACATGCTATATTCAGGAAGAAGTTCCCTTCAATTTAGAATCCACCTCAAAGAATTATTACAAGCTGGTGATTTGTGGGGCCCTAAACCGGGAGCAGACAGCAGACTACAACGTCACAATCATAGCCACCGACAAGGGCAAGCCATCCCTTTCCTCCAGGACAAGCATAACCCTGCACATCTCCGACATCAACGACAATGCACCTGTTTTCCATCGGGCCTCCTACGTGGTTCATGTGGCTGAGAACAACCCACCTGGCGCCTCTATTGCACAAGTGAGCGCCTCCGACCCGGATTTGGGACCCAACGGCAGTGTCTCCTACTCTATTCTGGCCAGTGACCTAGAGCCGCGGGAGCTGTTGTCCTACGTGTCCGTGAGCGCGCAGAGCGGAGTGGTGTTCGCGCAGCGCGCCTTCGACCACGAGCAGCTGCGCGCCTTCGAGCTCACGCTGCAGGCCCGCGACCACGGCTCGCCTGCGCTCAGCGCCAACGTGAGCCTGCGCGTGTTAGTGGGCGACCTCAATGACAATGCGCCGCGGGTGCTGTACCCCGCGCTAGGACCGGATGGCTCCGCACTCTTCGATATGGTGCCGCGCGCCGCAGAGCCCGGCTACCTAGTGACCAAGGTAGTGGCGGTGGACGCAGACTCAGGACACAACGCTTGGCTGTCCTACCACGTGCTGCAGGCCAGCGAGCCCGGGCTCTTCAGCCTGGGGCTGCGCACCGGTGAGGTGCGCACAGCGCGTGCCTTGGGCGACAGGGACGCGGCCCGCCAGCGCCTGCTGGTCGCCGTGCGTGATGGAGGACAGCCGCCACTCTCCGCCACCGCCACGCTGCACCTAATCTTCGCGGATAGCCTGCAGGAGGTATTGCCAGACCTCAGCGACCGCCCGGAGCCCTCTGACCCTCAGGCGGAACTGCAGTTTTACCTGGTGGTGGCCTTGGCCTTGATCTCAGTGCTCTTTCTCCTCGCGGTGATTCTGGCTGTCGCCCTGCGCCTGAGACGTTCCTCCAGCCTGGACACTGAGGGCTGGTTTCAAACGGGTCTGTGCTCCAAGTCTGGGCGCCGGGTTCCTCCCAACCACAGCGAGGGAACTTTGCCCTATTCCTACAATCTATGTGTTGCCTCTCATTCTGCAAAGACAGAGTTTAATTTTCTCAACCTGACACCGGAAATGGCTCCCCATCAGGATCTGCTGTGTGATGATCCTTCTATGGTTGTATGTGCCAGCAATGAAGATCACAAAATCACTTGTGACCCTTCTTTTTCTTCTCACGTGAGTTTCTGCATATCTATTTAAATTTTATTTATTGCAGTCGGGAGTAATGAGTCAAGCCTTTAATCACAGTACTTAACCAGGCTAAGGCAGGTGGATTACTTGAAGTAGGGAGTTTGAGACCAGCAGAGCCAACATGGTGAAACCCCGTCTCTACTATAAAAACAAAAATTAGCTGGGTGTGGTGGCACGCGCCTGTAGTCCCAGTTACTCAAGAGGCTGAGACAGGAGGATCGCTTGAGCCTGGGAGGCAGAGGTTGTAGTGAGATAAGAGCATGCCACTGCACTCCAGTCTGGGCAATGGGAGTGAAACCCTGTCTCAAAAAAAGTCACATATTGCATTTTCTTCTCACTGGTGCATAGGTAATTTTGGTTGTCTTTCATTGTTCTAGTGATGGTATCTAGTGGGAGAGGGGTGTATTACATAGGTGGAGGTTGCTTTCTTGATTGTTCAGTATTCTTGGCAATTTGATTTTCAGCCTTTACTGTTGACATTTCTGTATGTTTGGCAAATATTGCTAAATGGACCTATTTCGTAGATGTTAACACCTTTAGTAATAGCAGTGCCTTTTCTTAGTTCATATGTGATACTATATTTTCAAGTCATCTTATTCTTAGCTCTTTATAAATGTATTTATAGTTCTTCCCACCCAAGTTAAAATTTATGTTCATCTTCATCAATTACATTCTAATGTATCTTTTTGCAGAAACATGTGTATTTAACACAGCCTTCCAATCATTAAGACTGTTAATGATTGTCTCATCTCAAGTAGCAGATATTGTCCAATTTTACATTTGTATCACTAACTTTGGGTCAGTATTATTCCCACTCTATAATTTCAGCCAATGATATTTTGTAATTTTCTTAACCATTCCTTAATTATTTATTTTTATGCTCTTTCTATTTTGTCTCTATTGAAACAAGGAATGTAATGAACATTTGGGTTTATAAAGCATTTTCCATACTTCTTGTTTCTTTAGTATAGATTTTTGAGGAATTAAATCTGTAAACATTTTGAGAGTTTTGAATGCATACTGTCAAATTTATTTCCAAACATCTTATTTCACCTCTTAGTCATCTGCAGTTTATGAGGTCTTTAAGATTGTGAAAAACGCCTTTAATCTACTCGAAGTCTGAGAGTTTTTAAATTCTATATAGCTGATGCACATTTGCATGAGTCATTTCTACTGCTATTAAGTGAGGAATAAGCTTAAGAACTGGTGTACTGCTTTATCTCAAATTTTCTCAGATTAGTAAATTACTCTAAATATTCATAAGCAAGAAAGTGATGGTGCATGTAATAAAAATCCATGTTAAGCTACCTAAACATTTCCTTTTACTGGTTATTTCTAAGATGACAGCTAAAGTTAGGAATTACAGTGAAGTAATACTGAATGTGAAATGTGAAAAAATTACTGAACTATTATCTGCACTTTATAGCTCTTCAGTCTAACTTTTCTTTTTATTTCTTTTGTATTTTTAAGAGCAGATTTATTTACCCATTGTTTAAGGCTTTGCATTTGAACTGGTCATTCCTAAAACACTGAAAACTTTCATGGAATGAAAGGTTTCATGGAATGTACTACTCTATGAGAAGTATAGTTCTAAAGATTGAGGAAACATTGTGAACAAGATAGTCATATGCATAGCTTGTAACTAAAAATCTACTATATGCAAAATTAATGAGCAAATTCTCTTCCCAAACCTATTATTATATTTGCCAATCTCATTTGTACAGGGGTAAGGCTAACTCTTGAACAGTAGGTGGGTTTATTGCAAGGGTATTGAAGCATTGTCCCAGGTTCTAGAGGGTCAGCTCGTGAGAGGAAACTTGTTACTGCATAAATTGGGACTAAAGCTGGACCTCCAAGCGCCTGTCCCACTGTCTTTTCACTTATCTCCCTCCTCCATTTTTCAAGTCCACCTTTGTCTTTAGGAGGGATAAATATGTCCCTCACACAATGTTCTGTACTGAGAATGTGCTGTGGGGATGAATATTGTGAAAACTGAAAAGAGGGAGAGCACATTCTTAGCCACAAAAAGTCATATTTTCTCTAAGAAAATAAAGAACTTCATAAAGTTTATTGTACAGGAAAATTTGGATTATCCTTGAATTTTCATTGCAAATCAAAAACAGGAATTTGACTTTTATTATCTTGGGAGAAATAGGAATAGAAAAGTATAAAATATATACTTTATTTGCCAAGAATAAATTGCAGAACAGGTTAAGACTCTGGGTGTCGCTGTTCACCAACCAGGGGGAAAAGACAAACCAGAAATTGAATCAGAATCACAAGATTTCTGCAGCACAAAGCACTGGCTCTGGAGCTTTATGAAAGCTTCAAGCTGAAGCTCTGGGATCTCCGGCTGTGAATACACTTTATTTTGGACCTAGAAGCTCCTGGGGCTCCTCAGGCCTCCACAGAAGGAAAACCGAAGCACAGGCGACTCCGCAGCTGGGTTGTAATGGCGGCGCCTCCTACTCGTCCAGACGCCACCCGGCTGCTCCAGATCTGCCTTCTAATAGGGGTTGTGGGGGAAATCAGGGCCGAACAGATCCGCTACTCGGTGTTTGAGGAGCAGGAAGAAGGCTCAGCGGTGGGCAACGTCGCCAAGGACCTGGGGCTGGCGCCCCGGGAGCTGGCGGAGCGCGGAGTCCGCATCGTCTCCAGAGGTAGGACGCAGCTTTTCGCCCTGAACCCGCGCAGTGGCAGCTTGGTCACCGCGGGCAGGATAGACCGGGAGGAGCTCTGCGACAGATCTCCAAACTGTGTGACAAACCTGGAGATTCTCCTAGAAGATACAGTGAAGATTTTGCGGGTAGAGGTGGAAATAATCGATATTAATGATAACCCGCCCGGTTTTGGGACGGAACAGAGGGAAATAAAAGTTGCTGAAAATGAAAATCCTGGGGCAAGATTTCCTCTTCCTGAAGCTTTTGATCCAGATGTAGGGGTAAACTCCCTGCAGGGTTACCAGCTCGACGCAAACGGTCACTTTTCCCTGGATGTGCAAAGCGGGGCCGATGGGATTAAGTACCCAGAGCTGGTGCTGGAACGCGCTCTAGATCGCGAGGAAGAGGCGGTTCATCACCTGGTTCTCACCGCCTTCGACGGAGGTGACCCGGTTCGCTCTGGTACTACCAGGATTCTCATAATAGTTGTGGATATCAACGATAATGCTCCCGCGTTCACTCAGCCCGAGTACCACGTAAGCGTTCGTGAGAATGTTCCTGTAGGCACCCGGCTACTTACTGTAAAAGCCACTGATCCAGATGAAGGAGCCAATGGAGACGTGACATATTCTTTCCGGAAAGTAAGAGACAAAATATCCCAGCTATTCCAGTTGAATTCTCTGAGTGGGGATATAACAATATTGGGGGATCTAGATTATGAAGACTCTGGATTCTATGACATAGATGTGGAAGCCCATGATGGGCCTGGTCTTCGAGCCAGAAGCAAGGTACTCGTGACCGTTCTGGATGTAAATGACAATGCTCCAGAAGTCACAGTTACATCTCTCACCAGCTCAGTCCAGGAAACTTCTTCCCCGGGTACAGTAATTGCACTTTTCAATGTGCATGACAGTGACTCAGGAGGGAATGGCCTCGTCACATGTTCTATTCCAGATAATCTACCATTCACACTTGAAAAGACCTATGGAAATTATTATCGGTTGTTGACACACACAACACTGGACAGGGAAGAAGTCTCAGAATATAACATCACTCTAACTGCCACTGACCAGGGAACTCCTCCACTGTCTACAGAAACTCATATTTCACTGCAGGTGATGGACATCAATGACAACCCACCTACTTTCCCTCATGCTTCCTATTCTGCCTACATTTCTGAAAACAACCCCAGAGGAGCCTCCATCTTATCTATGACTGCTCAAGACCCCGACAGTGGTGACAATGCCCGAATCGCTTACTCCCTGGCCGAAGACACTTTCCAGGGTGCACCCCTGTCCTCCTATGTCTCCATCAACTCCAACACTGGGATCCTGTATGCACTTCGCTCCTTCGATTATGAGCAGTTTAGAGACCTGCAGCTACTGGTGACAGCCAGTGACAGTGGAGACCCTCCACTCAGCAGCAACGTGTCACTGAGCCTCTTTGTGCTAGACCAGAATGACAACGTCCCTGAGATCCTGTACCCCACCTTCCCCACAGATGGCTCCACTGGAGTAGAGCTGGCACCCCGCTCCGCAGAATCTGGCTACCTGGTGACCAAAGTGGTGGCAGTGGACAGAGACTCAGGCCAGAATGCCTGGCTGTCCTACCACCTGCTCAAGGCCAGCGAGCCGGGACTGTTTGCAGTGGGGCTGCACACAGGCGAGGTGCGCACGGCACGGGCCCTCCTGGACAGAGACGCGCTTAAGCAGATTCTGGTAGTGGTCGTCCAGGACCATGGCCAGCCCCCTCTATCAGCCACTGTCACAGTCACTGTGGCTGTGGCCGACAGCATCCCAGATGTCCTGGCTGACTTGGGCAGCCTCAAGCCTTCAGCAGAGCCAGATGACTCGGGCCTCACACTCTATCTCGTGGTGGCAGTAGCCGCTGTCTCCTGCATCTTCTTGGCTTTTGTCATGGTGCTTCTAGCACTCAAGCTGAGACGCTGGCACAAGTCACGCCTGCTTCGGTCTGAAGGGAGCAGGTTGGCGGGTGTGCCTGCCTCCCACTTTGTAGGCATGGACGGGGTTCGGGCTTTCCTGCAAACCTATTCCCACGAGGTCTCCCTCACCGCGGACTCGAGGAAAAGTCACCTGATCTTCCCCCAGCCCAACTATGCAGACACGCTCATCAGCCAGGAGAGCTGTGAGAAAAGTGAGCCTCTTCTTATAACTCAGGATTTACTTGAAACAAAAGGAGACCCTAATCTTCAGGTGAGTCAATCTTATAATAGATCATACCATGCTGAAATATAGACACAGAGTTGTGTAAATGTCTGCAATTATGTATGTAATATATCAAATAAAGGCACCTCTTTTATTTAAAGAGGAGCGGTGGATGACCTTTCAA